ACTTCACCTGACCATGAAATGTAGTCCCTTTTTATGCTTTGGGAAAATAAGAGCAAAACCTCTCTCCAGTAAAAGCATTCATGAGTTTGGCTGACTTATGAGGGAGACCAAGGACGATTTCCATTGCAATGATGCCACGGTTTTCCTGAAAGGTAAGCATCAATCTGCCTTTTGCCCCACTGAGGCCGAGTCAGTCTATCTTGCTGTTACCTCTTGCCTCCTCATTTTTGGCTTGTCTTCCCACTGTACTCTTCCCACTCCACTCTTCCTGTCCCTCCCAGAGCTAAAACCTTGGCACCAGAAATCTGTAAAATGTAAATGTCACTTGTTTCAGAGAACACCTCCTAATTTGGAGCATTTATGAACCTCACAGTGCCAAATACAATATTTACCTTTCTGGCTCTGACATTCTTTAGGTCACTAAAGTAAAAAGCTTCTGAGTAAAAAAGAAAAAAACATTAAAAGTGAATCCTGTTGCCTGAAATAGTGTATTTCACTTATTCAGCAGTGAAATTCACTGGTCTCCTGTAACCAGCATGAGGCAATTTTTAGTGGAGACCTCATCTCTGCCAGCTCAATTTGTTGCTGCTCAGTTACAAAGATGTGTTTACTTCCAGGAGAAAGGGCTTCAAGTTACTTGTCTAACATATGAGCATGGTGACATCTCTTGCTCCCTGTTTGGCTAATATTTTGGTCATCAGGGTCTGAAGTTGCTAACAAAAATATATTAAAAGTGGGTAATATCTATATTCATCTTGGACTGAAGGATGCTGTAGGAATATTTTCTGAGTTTTATTTACTTGTACAATTATTACATCAATCTTTTTTTGAACACTTTTTATTGAGACATAATTCACGTACCATAAAACTCACCAATTTAAAGTATACAATTCAGTGGTTTTTAGTATGTTTGTGGTGGAACCACCACTAAAATCTAATTCCAGAACGTTTTCTTCACTCCCCAAAAGAAAAGCCCTTCCCATTAGCAGTCACTCCTTATGCCTGTCCCACTCCTGAGCCCGTTCTAGGCAACTGCTAATCTACTTTCTGTTTCTATATATTTGCCTGTTCTGGACTCTTCTTCATACAGATGGAATCAAACAATAGGTGGCCTTTTGGGTCTGTCTTCTTTTACTTAGGATGACGTTTTCAGGTTTCATTCATATAGTAGCATGCATCAGTACTACTTTTATTACCAAGTAATATTCTGTTGTATGGACATAACATATTATATTTATTCTTTCATCAACTGATAGATTGATGTTTGGGTTGTTTCCACTTTTTTCTTTTCTTTTTAGTTGACACATAATAATTGTACAATTTGTGGAATGCAGAGTGTTATTTCCTTATGTAATGATCTAATCATGGTAATTAGCATCCATCACCTCAAATATTTATCATTTCTTTGTGTTGTGAGCATTAAAGATCCTCTCTTCTAGTTTTTTGAAAATATACAATAAATTATGGTTAACTATATTCACCCCACAGTGCTGCAGAATACCTGAACTCATTCCTCCTATTAAACTATAATTTTGAAATTGTTAACCAACCAATCTCCATCCTCCCTCCCTGCCACTCTTCCCATCCTCTAATTCCCACAATTGTACTCTACTTTTTCTTAGCTCCCACAAGTGAGGACATGTGGTATTTATCTTTCTGTGCTTACTTTATTTTGCTTAACATCATGTCCTCCAGGCTTATCCATGTTGCTGCAAATGACAGGATTTCATTCTCTTTTTGTGGCTGAATAGTATTCCATTGTGTATATATACTACATTTTCTTTATCCAGTTGTCTGTTGATTAACATTTGGGTTGATTCTATATCTTACCTATTGTGAGTAGTGCTGCAGCAAACATGGGAGTGCAGATATCCCTTTGATACACTGAGTTCCTTTCCTTTGGGTAAACACCCAGTAGTGAGATTGTCGGATCATATGATAGTTCTGTTTTTAGAGAAATCTCTATGCTGTTTTCCATAATCGCTGTATTAATTTATATTCTCACCAACAGTATATAGGAGTTTTCTTTTCTCTGCATCCTCACCAGCACTGTTATTTGTTGTCTTTTTGAAAATAGCCATTCTAACTGGAGTGAGATGACATCTCATTGTGGTTTTGATGTATGTTTCCCTGATGATGATTTTTCATATATTTGTTGACTATTTGTATGTCTTCTTAAGAGGTTGTTTGGAGGTTCAAGCAGGGAAGTGCAGCTACTTGTATACCCTAGACCAATAACCCATATCCTCCTCCATCAGGGTTGGCTATCCTCTTTGACTAAGCATGCAGCTTTGGGGAGGGACACACATGGAAGAGTGAGGGAAGAGGGGGACACCTGCCTAGCCAGCCAGATCAGCCGAATCAACCCTGGCGATCAATGGGGTGACAGATATCACAGCCACATCGCCCTCACATATGTCTTCTTTTGAGAAATGTCTGCTTGGTTCCTTTGTCCACTTTTTAATCAGATCATTTGTTTATTTGCTGTTGAGTTGTTTGAATTCCTTGTATATTCTGGATATTAGTCCTTTGTTGTATGACTAGTTCACACATGTCTTCTCCCATTCTGTAGGTTGTCTCTTTACTTTGTTGATCGTTTCCTGTGTTGTGTATAATCTTTTTAGTTTGATATCATCCCATTTGTCTATTTTTGTTTTTGTTACCTGTGGTTTTGAAGTTTTAGCTATATAAAATCTTTGCCAAGATCAATGCCCTGAAGCATTCCCCCTATGTTTTCTTCTAATAGCTTTATAGTTTCAGGTCTTATGTTTAAGTCTTTAATCTATTTTGAGTTTATTTTTGTATATGGAGATACAGGAGTCTAGTTTCATTCTTCTATATACAGATATCAGGTTCTCCCAGCACCATTTGTTGAAGAATGCATGGATTTTATTATAAATAGTGCTGCTATAAACATTCATGTACAAGTCTTTGTAAACATATGTTTTCACTGCTTTTGGGTATAAACCTAGGAGTAGAATTGCTGGGTCATATTATAACTCTATGTTTAATTTTTGAGGAAATGCCAGACTGTTTTCCAAAGTGGCTGGCTCATTTTACATTTCCACTAGCAGTATATCCAATTTGTCCACATCCTCATCAACGCATTTTATTATCTGTATTTTAAATTATAGCCATCCTAGTAAGTATGTTGTGGTATGTCATTATGCATTTATCTAATGGCTAATAATGTTGATCCATTCAATTTTTAGGCCATATGTCTTAATGAACAATTACAGTGATGAGACAAGGCATTCCATCTTAATATTTTAATTTTTAATGATTTTGAATAAAGTAATAAGGAGCATATATGCTGTTATATGTCATATTTAGCAAATGCACTTCATTTATGGTTCATCTTAAAAAATTCTAACTTGACTACATAAAAGTGAAATCTAAGTGAAAACTTCTGAGATAGTTTCATAGGACAAATTTTCTATAGGATACTAAAACATACTTAGCTATTATCAAGTATAGGGTAAAGAGACAAACTTTGCATCTTTTACTTGATATTTGTGTTCAAACAATTTGGATTCTATTGGGGAATATCTAAACTCTTCCAATTCTTTTAACATGAATAAAATAGCATCCACATCTGGAACCCAGACTACATGTGATGGCTCTGCAGGGTTTGGTCAGACTTTGTTTTGAAACAGGGAGGCAGAAGACATAATGGGTTCCTAGCAAAAGATCCACAGTCAACAATAAAATTGAAAGGATGAGGTTGCATAGAAGAAAAATATATTCCTGAAGAAACTGAACAAACAAATGAAAACTTATGGCACAGGAATAAATTCAGCATAAAATAAATGCAAATAAAAGTTTTTAAAAAGTTAAACGAATTCACAGATTTTATTTTGGAGTGGTATGCAATACCATTAAAAGAAATTAGAAATCATAGTTTAAGCAGAGGCTTAAATAAAACACATTTTTCTTAATCCAGACTTTTTTTTTTTTTTAAAATGAGAAGGCCCAATCTGTGCATTGGGAATTTAAAAAAACAAAACATAAAAAACAAAAAAAAACAAAAACAAAACAAAAAAAAAAGAAAAAAACCAAGATATAATATTTGCATAGCCCATTTTCAACTGTGGTCCAAATGTTGTATTTAAGATCAATAAAATATAAACCAATCCTGCAAATAAAATATAAAAAGGACAAATCTATGTGTCATTTCTGGTATTTTCCCTGCCAGCCAGCCCTGGAATCATAGAATGGCGGGGGTGGGAACAACCCTTCTCTTTTCCATGTAGTTTAGGAAGCACATTGTATGGGATTACATAAAAGTAATGTGATCCTGATTAAAAAACAGAACGATGGCATTAATAAGCCACATTCGTCAGTTCCTTATCTGAGTGTTGTGCCAGTAAATTTGGGGAAAAAATACTTAGAAATGGGACAACACAATCACACATAAAAAAATTAAGGCTGGAAGTGCAATCTCTTTTTTTAAATTAAAAAAATCCAAGGCTTTTAATCTGAAAAAGAAGTGGTCTACTACTGAATGATTATCTGTCTCTAGGCCTTTATATAAAGATCTATTCTCTTCCTCTTCAAGGGATTAATCATTATAAAATAAGCTAAAGATTTTAAGATGTTTTGGTTAGGCATAAATAAAAATATATTAACAAATAGGTTCTTTATCCACATGAAGTGTCTTCAAAATAAATTAGTAAGTTGGATTTGTTTATATTGATTCAGATAACATGTATCTGGAAACAAGTGGCAAGATAATAACCTCCTAAGGGAGTTTTCTGACTCTGGGATTCCATAAAAGCTTTTGTAAAACATTAGAGACAACCTGAAAATTTTACTTAATGGCATTGCCTAACCTAAGTGGTCTTATCATTTGTTAAGTGTAAAGAAATATGACAGTAGCTAAAATTTTTTAGTTTTCATAAATGATTTTTTATATTGTCAGTTTGTATAAATGGTTATTGGAACTATGTATTCCATACTAAATGATAATCACAAATGATCTTTATATTAAATATTTTTAGGGTTTGAATGTACTTTCCAAACATAAAAAATTGAAGGAACTTTCTGTATCCGAGTGTTATAGAATCACTGATGTTGGAATTCAGGTAAGATCATTAAGATCATCTGTTAGAGAATTAAGATTGAAATTTTTCAAAAAATTGATTAATTCACTTTATTTCTTATTTCCATAGGTTTTTGGGGAATGGGTGGTGTTTGGTTACATGAGTACATTTTTTTAGTGATAATTTGTGAGATTTTGGTGCACCCATCACCTAAGCAGTATACACTGTACCCAATTTGTAGTCTTTTATTCCTCACTCATTGCCCACCCTTTCCCCCAAGTCCCCAAAATCCATTGCATCGTTCATATACCTTTGCATTCTCATAGCTTAGCTCCCAATTATGAGTGAGAATATACAGTGTTTGGTTTTCCATTCTTGAGTTACTTCACTTAGAATAACGGTCTCCAGTTCCATCCAGGTTACTGCAAATGCCATTATTTCATTTTTATGGCTGAAGAGTATTCCATGTACACATATATATATGTGTGTGTGTGTGTGTGTGTGTATGGAATGTGTACATGGAATATATATATGTGTGTGTGTATATATATGTGTATATGTGTGTGTGTGTGTGTATATATATATAATCACAATTCTTTATCCACTCATTGATTGATGGACATTTGGGTTGGTTCCCCAATTTTGCAATTGCGAATTGTCCTGCTATAAGCATGCTTGTGCAAGTATCTTTTTCATACAATGACTTTTTTTCTTCTGGGTAGATACCCAGTAGTGGGATTGCTGGATCAAATGGTAGTTCTACTTTTAGCTCTTTAAGGAGTCTCCAGACTGTTTTTTATAGTGGCTGTACTAGTTTACATTCCTACGAGCAGTGCAGAAGTGTTCCCTTTTCACTGCATCCCTGCCAACTTTTATTATTTTTTGATTTTTTGATTATGACCAGTCTTGCAGGAGTAAGATGGTTTCACATTGTGGTTTTGATTTGCATTTCCCTGATCATTTGTGATGTTGAGCATTTTTTTTCATGTTTATTAGACATTTGTACATCTTCTTTTGAGAATTATCTGTTCATGTCCTTAGCTCACTTTTTGATGGGATTGTTTGGTTTTTTCTTGCTAATTTGTTTGAGTTCATTGTAGATTTTGGATCTCAGTCCTTTGTCAGATGTATAGATTGTGAAGATTTTCTCACACTCTGTTCATTGTCTATTTACTCTGCTGTTTCTTTTGCTGTGCAGAAACTTTTTAGTTTAATTAAGTACAAATTGAATAAATTTTGTGGGTCATAGTAGAAAAAAAAGAAATGGATTGGAAATGTAACAATACATATGTGATCCTAGTTGAACCAAGTTCAACTCCAGGCTCTTAGTTAGGTCTCCACAGCCAAAGTGATTGAGATTTATTTTCCCATTTTTCCCTGTCTACTCTCTCCCTTCCTCATGTCAGATTCAAAACAAACAGGGATATTTTACATGGAGAGTGATGAACTGCAGTGTGGTAAAAGTCTTCTCATATAAACAAAGTATTCTGTAGATAGAAATGTTATAGAATCTAATCATTGAAAGTTGGGGGAGTTTGAAAAATTATGCCAGACACTCAACAGTTAGGAACTTAAGTTACTCAAACATACTTGCTAGCATCCTTTATGGGAATGGGAAGCATGAGATAAGTAATTGGCTAGGATAAATGATTACATGCTCAATTGATTCTTCAAGAGCTTGCAAGAAAAGTAAAATTCCTAGACCTAATCTTCAGTGATGTGCAGGAAGTCATAAAGTACATACTGTGAGCAAGCCACAGTGTAATTTTTCCATCACTTTAAGCATATCAATGTGCTGTTAGAAAAAAACCCAAAGTTATTTGTCATACATGTATTGAACAAGAAGGGAAGCAGTAACCTAGGAATGCAAGCACTGAAACACATTGGAAGTTCTAGATAAATGTGCCTTGAGAGTTTAAAACCCCAACCACTCATAAAAGCCTGAAGCTAAAGTAGAAATAGAAAGAGAGAGAGAAAGAGAAAGAGACAGAGAGGGAGAGAGAGAAAGAAAGAAGAAGAAGGAAGAGGAGAAGGAGAATGAAGAGGAGGGGAGGAGGAGGAAGAAGAAGAAGAGGAGGAGAAGGAGGGGAAGAAAAGGGAAGAAAGGAAGGGAAGGAGGGAAGGAGGGAGGGAGGGAGGGAAGAAAGAGAGAATGAAAAACCTATAAAATGGTTTATCCCACAAGTAGGAAGATAATGCAATAAAAGCTGAGAAGTCCCCAGAGCATGGCAAACCTGAAGTTATCTCTGTCAATTTGAAGTAGACTTTCCAAGAAGTTTTAACATGACTAATAGGAGTGTTATAATACCATCTCAACTGGTGGGCTGTAGAGGATTCCAGCTCAAAAGATGCTCTAGACCTCTAGCATTGAATTCTAAACTTCTGGAGCTGAAAGAATCTTAGAAACATCTAAAGCAACTCCCTAATGTTAAGGCAGTAGGAATAAAAAATTACATCAAAGGCCAAGAGGGCTTAAATGACTGGCTCAAAGTCTTATACCTTCTCAGCAAACTAATTCAGTAACAGTTTTACGGAAATGAAAGGTGGAAATGGAGAACTGCTGTTCTGAATGGTTGATTGACAGTTTAGTGAGAAAAAATGTTTTCAAATTATTTTTGCTGTTTCTCACTGGGTCTGAACAATGTAATCATACTTGAGGGAATCTACTTTAAGGAGTATTAGTGTCACATAATGTCAATTTCTCCCAATTTTAGACCAAGGGTACTGATGTTCTAAGAAGTCCCTAAGAAATCTGCCTGGTAGTATATTCAGTACTGTAGAGTTAAATAAACGAACACAAAACACATATCCCAGAGAGGACTAGAAAATTCCGTATTGGAAAGATTGTAACTCTTTCATAACAAAAAGGATTACAAATCATTTAGATGTATGTAACCTACTAAGAGAAAAAGCTGAAAGATTCCTCTAAAGTTAAGCCATGATTTACCTGCTGCAATTAATTTAAGGGTTAAACATACATTTATACAAAGCTTTATCTATGAATATGATATAGTCAGGCTTTCAAAAGATCTTTGACAAGGTGATAGACTAGAAAAAACCGTTTAAAATATTAACATTTTTAATACTGGGTTATATTTCTCATATCAATTATATTTGACCAATAACTAGAAATCATTTAGGAGTATTGAAACCTACCATGGTGATGACATAGTCTCTTAATATGCATCACTGATTAATTTTTAGATGCTCCTCTCATCCTTGGGATGAAGGAGTATTGACCAAAGTTTGATGTTAAGTATCAGAAGACCAGTGTTTTCTGTCATTTCTTTTTGATTCTGTGGGGTCCAGACATTTTTCTTTTTACTCTTTGGAGCCTAAAAATTGTACTGTGTTTAGGTGCTCTGAGATTGTAGACGAAAGCATTTACCCATTTGCTAACTATATGACCATACAGCTGACTTCTGGCATATCTTTAAAACAATTTAATCTTTTACAAACTGACATGTATTTATTTTCAGTAATCTAAAAGATTAGTGGTTCTACTCTTGAGTTCATGAACAAGAAATTTTTCTTTTATTTTCCTTAATTTTTTTCTAAACAAAACAAAACAAGATACATGTGCAGAACATGCAGGTTTGTTCCATAGGTATGCATGTGCCATGGTGGTTTGCTGCACCTGTTGACCTGTCCTCTGAGTTCCCTCCCCTCACCCTCAACCCTGAAATTTTTCTTTTTCATCATTTCTCATCCCTCTTTTTCCCCTCCCTGCTTTTGGTATGTGTGTGTCTGTGTGTCTGTGTTGTGGCTTTTAACCAGTTTTACCTCTTCCAAGGTTCATACTTCTGGCCTGTGGTAATCTTTCCCCTTGCCTCCTCCAGCCCAATTATTAAGTCCCAAAAGGGAACAGACAAAGCAGGGGGAGGAGAAAGTGACATACAAATGAATTTCACAATTCCTTACCTGGATTTAGAAAGAGAGGGAAAGAGAATAAAATAAGGTGAGTAAATTGAGATGTTCAGATTATCCACACTTAGAAAAGGTAACTATAGGAGAGATTCTGTTTTTAGCATAAGACGTTGAAAACTTATACACTACATAATTCACTTAATGAGAAAAATGAATAAATCTTTTACCCTGGTTAGGTTTTGCAAGAGTTGTGAACATAATAAGAATAAAAAATTACCTCATTTTAGTGTTTAGTGGAAACCACAGCACATACAGAGTCATTGTCTGGAGCCTCAGATGTATTGACTTTTAGGATCTGGCTTTAATTACTTTCTCCAACTTTAGTTCTTTTCTGAGAACAACAGACATTCAATGATTATGTTACACTAAAATTATTTGGTGCTCTTGAAAGGCATTTTGGAGAAGATGTTTGATGCAGCTGTAACTGAGCATTTCTTAAGAAATCGTTTTCTTGAGGATTTTATGAGGTCAGTTAAATAACAGATGGCCAAGTATGGCAAAGGAATTGGCTTAAATGCAGTGTTACAGTACAGAAATATTAGAAGTTCCATCTTACTAAGTTGTTTTGACAGAACCAATGGAATAAATCCAATTATTTACTCTGGTTACTTTTTTTCTGAGACGGAGTTTCGCTTTTGTTGCCCAAGCTGGAGTGCAATGACACGATCTCAATTCACTGCAACCTCCGCCTCCTGGGTTCAAGTGATTCTCCTGCTTCAGCCTCCTGAGTAGCTGGGATTACAGGCGTGCACCACCACGCCTGGCTAATTTTTTGTATTTTTAATAGAAATGGGTTTCATCATGTTGGCCAGGCTGATCTCGAACTCCTGACCTCAGGTGATCCACCTGCCTCAGCCTCCCAAACTGCTGGAATTACAGGGGTGAGGCACTGTGCCTGGCCTCTGGTTGCTTTTTATACTCTTAATCTAGTTTGCATTTCTCATTCCCCTTTCCTAGAATGAAGCATAATATAAACACGTTTATATAATATCCATACACATAAATGTGTATTTTTTATGCAGATTATCTTTGAATGAAAATCTTGCAGCTAGACAAAAATTTCTAATTATTTCAGTGTTAGTAGGTTGAGGTAGTTGATTAAGAAATGTCATTAGTGGGAGAAAATCAGGTTTCATTAGGATGCACCAAAAGGACTGGCAGGTGTGTATACAGTGAAAGTGTGCATATATGTGTGTTTACATGCAAATATATGTAAATGTACATCTATGTCTAGTATATGTAGGTAAATTAAATATATGTATACACCTTGGTATATATTACATCATATATATGTCAATGTGTATATGTATTACACCCAAATTGTGTATAGAGACATGCTATATGATTATACATTTCTAGGCTAAAACCAATAGATGATGGTCAGTATTCAAAGCAAGTAATAAAAATTGGTTTATTGGTCAGGTGCAGTGGCTCACACCTGTAATTGCAGCACTTTGGGAGGCCAAGGCAGGTGGATTACCTGAGGCCAGGAGTTCAAGACTAGCCTGCCCAACATGGTGAAACCCCGTCTCCACTAAAAATACAAAAAAATTAGCCAGGCATAGTGGCGCACACCTCTAGTCCCAGCTACTCCAGAGGCTGAGACAGGAGAATCGCTTGAACCCGGGAGGCGGAGGTTGCAGTGAGCCGAGATTGCACCACTGCACTCCAGCTGGGTGACAGAGAGAAACTGCATCTCAAAAAAAGAAAAAAAAGAAAAAAAAAAGGGTGTTAAAGAATTACCTTTTTATCTATATTTTATTTAAAAAATTAATCATCCATTTAAATGACAAAGCTCTTTTTCTTGTGGAAGTGTGTGGATTAGTTCTCTGATAGCAAAAGTAATAATATAATTTAGGGAATGTGGGACTAGCTGTCAAGAATCCTAATTTTTATTCCAATTCTGCCTCTTACATGGCCACGTTTTCTTAAGCAATTCACTTAGCCCACAACAATTCATTCCCCTATAGTGACTACAATTATGAAGCAGACAGGAGCTTGCACACTGGAGCAGGGGTAGGCTTTTTTTTTTCTGTCAAGTTGTGAAGCGTCAGGTAGTTTCTGTTTTAGGCTTTGCAGGCCATACAGTCTCTGTCGCAACTTCCCAGCTTTGCCATTGAGCATAGAAACAGCCATAGACAATATGTAAATAAATGAGAGTTGCTGTATTCCAATAAAACTTTATGGACACTGAAAATTTGTATTTCATATCATTTTCACATATCATGAAATATTATTATTCTTTTGCTTTTTTGTCTACCATTTAAAATATATAAACACCATTCTGAGAGTGTAGGCCATACAGAAGAGCTACAGGTTAGCTGAGCAGGTGGACAGCCACCGTCAGTGAGCATTGAGTCTGTGGGTGTCATAAGCAAATGCTTTTTGTGCTCTCTACCCTGCAGCCTGGTGGGCTGGCTGTGCTTGCATAGGTGGGGCCTGTGGCTGTCCCAAAGTTCAGGCACTTTGGTCATGTCCATTACGCTTGTGAACGATTCTTAAGCTTCCTTACTACAACACTGGGATATTATTTGCAATTAGCAAGTTGGAAAGAGCTTAGATGATTAATTAGGCTACTCCATACCTGCATGTAAGACCATGCTCAAATCATCTCATTTCAGTTTTTTTTTGAGATGGAGTCTTGCTCTGTTGCCCAGGCTTGTATGCAGTGGCATGATCTTGGCTCACTGCAACTTCCTCCTCCCGGGCTCAGACCATTCTCCCACCTCAGCCTTCCAAGTAGCTGGGATTACAGGCATGTGCCATCATCCCCAGCTAATTTTTGTATTTTTAGTAGAGATGGTGTTTCACCATGTTGGCCAAGGCTGGTCTTGAACTCCTGACCTCAGGTGATCTGCCCGCCTCAGCCTCCCAAAGTGCCAGTATTACAGGCGTCACCCACCATGTCCAGCCTCAGATTAATTTATTTTGTGAAAATGTGACATCTTGTTCAGTGATTGAACACAAAACATTTTGGATTAGACTTTCCATGTAGAGGACATGGATAATCTGTTTGTTTTTTGAAAACAGAAATCATTATAATTTTTTTTTTAAATGATGAGGCTAGGTCTAGTGGGGTTAGGCAGATATAAGCAGAAAAATTCAATACTATGTGGTGGTTGTCAGCTAATATCAATTTAGCACTTACTACTGCCAGGCACTGTTGTATTTCCCATGTATTAATTTCCTACTTTATGAGGTAGGCAATACTTTTAATTCCATTTTACAAACTGGAGGTTCCAAGAGGTTAAAAACCACTCCCAAGTCGTAAAACAAGTAAGCACATGAGCTAGTGTATAAAATGTCTAATTCCAAAAGGATGCTTTTAGTCATAATGCTGTGATAAAGGCATGTAGGAGGCTATGGGAGGATTCGGGTGAGGTACCTAATCCAGCATGGGAATGCCAGGGAAGTTTATCTGTTAGAAAAATCACTTTAACAAGGAATGTGGAAGTTAGATTGAAGAGCAGAAGGGGAAAAGGAGACTTACCAACAGTGAAGGTAGGAATATAAGAGGTTTTTGTTACAGTCCAGGGGTGACAGGATAGCAACCTGAACACGGGAAGTAACAGGGAGGCTGGGGATAGGGAAATGGATTAGAGAACATTTAGATAGCAAAATCCATGAAACTGTCGATAGTTCAGATGAGGGATGAGTGTGAAGATGTGGTTAAAGACGATGTCCATGCATCTGACTTCTCTGCCAGGAATATTGGTGGTATCCCCACTTTCAAGCCCTGTGAACTACCAAGATTGATTCAGTATTTTGGCACTTACTGTTGCCAAAATATCTCTTCTTCTGAGTGTGTGATTTATAGGAGATATGTATATTTTGGTCTTTGTCCACAGTCCTGGCCCAGAGCTCCTTAAAGGACTTGTAACTTTCTGAGCAATAGGGGTAATAGGTATCTTTTGTTCTAGTATTTGGTCTTTGACCATGGTTCCTGATGCAGAACTCCTAATTCCTTGGAGTTTCCTGGGTGTATCTTCTGTTCTAATGAGGTGACTCTTGGTGAGTTCTTGGTTGGGGGCTGGTCATGAGAAAGGCCAGGCCATGATTAGAATCTTGGAACTTTCTGCTCTATTCCCCATCCTTTGGGAAGGTGAGAGGGGCTGGAGATTGAGCTAATAATTGATGGTGTCTACATGACAAAGCCCCCATAAAAATCCCTGAACTACAGGGTTTAGAGTACTTCCAGGTTGGTGAACACATCCATATGCCAGGAGAGGGGTGCACCCCAACTCTGTGGGGACACAAGTTCCTGCACTCAGGACCTCTATACCTAGCCCTATGTACCTTTTCGTCTGGCAGTTCATTGGTATCCTTTATTATATAATAAACTGGTTAACATGTTTCCCTGAATTCTTTGAGTTGTCCTAGCAAATTATCAAGCCCAAGGAGGTAGTTATGGGAACCCTAATATATAGGTGGTTCATTAGAAGTCCAAATGACAACCTGGGACTTGCGATTGGCATCTGAAATCTACTGGGATTGAGCTCTGAACACGTGGGGTCTGTGCTAACTCCAGTTAATGTCAGAATTGAATTAAATTATAGAACATCCAGTTGGTGTCACAGAATTGGTCAGTGTGTGGAAAAACCCACACATCTGGTATCAGAAGTGAAGTGTTCTGGAAGTATTGAGAGTGGTGTGACTATAGAGAAAAAACCATTTTTTTCCCCATTGTGTATGGCATGATTTTGTCTGTGTTTCCTCTAAGCTGTCTTCGTCCCTCCACTCTTAGGACAGAGTCTTTTAGGCATTCTCCCTCCCACTCTATCTCTAGGTTTGTGGCAGCTGCAGGCAGGCTAAGGGAGCTCTGTTTGAATTTGTTTTTACTCTACTTATAAGTAATTTGAAGGTTGTATTGTTCTCTTAATTCTAGTAATGATGAATATATGGGTACTGTTGCAGTTTTATTTCTTTTCTCTTTATATTTTCTGGTTTGGAGGGGAGGTGAAGATTCAGACTTAGATAATCGTCATTGTTTTCCAAACCCAAACATTGCTCCCTCTTATCTTTTATTAACTATAAAAGATAATTAATAAATGACTCTGAAATTAATTATGAAAAAGCATCTCTAACAGAGACAGTTCATCTGCTTTTTAAAGCCCTGAAACCAGAATGCAGTGTGTAGTATTTATAATTACACCAAGGAAGGAAGTCTGTGGTAGTGGTTCAGCCTCATCTGCTCTCTTGTCTTTTCTGCCTGGTTTCTGGCTGATACTCTTCACGAGCTGGTTTAGTAATACCTTACAGATGGCACCATCGATGAATTTTAAGGGTGTCACCTAGGTCAGCGCCCTGTTGTCTGATGATTACTTAGGTATC